GATGGCAGGTCCCAGCCTGGGTCCCAACGTCACCTTCCTACCATTGGCTATTTTACTTCAATGAACCTGTCCTTGGATTGGGTTACGCTTGGTCATAAATACGGTTTCATAAAAATAGAAACAGTATAGGAAAGGGACAGCCCCTAAATTCCCTCTCTCAGAAGTTATCATAATCAACAGTTTGATGTGCACCCTTCCATGTTTTTCTTGATGTGTTTGCATACATACACAAATCTCAATGACTATATACATATATAACATATAGGTATACATATAGTATTCGTACATATATATAATATATATGTGAACTTATATTTACATACATTGGACTATATCTACGCAGTGTTTATAACTCTGTGTGTATGTGAAATCACCTGTCCCTGGAGATTTCTGTATGGGGAAGGCTTAAATCAAGGATTGAATTTTTTTTTTTTTTTTTGAGACAGAGTCTCGCTTTGTTGCCCAGGCTGTGGCATCAGCCTAGCTCACAGCAACCTCAAACTCCTGGGCTCAAGCGATCCTCCTGCCTCAGCCTCCCGAGTAGCTGGGACTACAGGCATGCACCACCATGCCCAGCTAATTTTTTCTACATATATTACTTGGCCAATTAATTTCTTTCTATTTATAGTAGAGACGGGGTCTCACTCTTGCTCAGGCTGGTTTCGAACTCCTGACCTCGAGCAATCTGCCTGCCTCGGCCTCCCAGAGTGCTAGGATAACAGGTGTGAGCCACCACGCCCGGCCCAGAATGTTTTTGATAGTTACAGTACTATTTAGCTTTTCTGTTTTTTCTTGTGTCAGCTTTGCTAAACCATCTTCATCCAGGAATTTGTCCCTTTTCATCTAAATTTAGATAACATTTTCCTATCATTATGGGATTGTTCATAGCTGCATATAAGATTCCATTGTGGGGACTCCCATAATCTAACCCTACTGTCTGCTCTCCAATTATGAATCTTGCTACATTTATATCCTTTTATGTGCCGCTTTGTGCACATGTATATATTTTTGTGGGGTCCATTCCAACGAATAGAGTTGCTTGGTCATTATGATGACATAAGGGTCATTATTGCTCTTTCACCTCCTTTGCCCATTTTTCTATTGGGCAACAATGATACTCATTTCATGGATGGGTAAATGGAGGTTTAGAGAGGGGCTGGTGGCCTGGTGTGGTGGCTCACGCCTGTAATCCTAGCACTCTGGGAGGCCGAGGCGGGCGGATTGCTCAAGGTCAGGAGTTCGAGACCAGCCTGAGCAAGAGCGAGACCCCGTTCCTACTATAAATAGAAAGAAATTAATTGGCCAACTAATATATATAGGAAAAATTAGCCGGGCATGGTGGGGCATGCCTGTGGTCCCAGCTACTTGGGAGGCTGAGGCAGCAGGGTCAATTGAGCCCAGGAGTTTGAGGTTGCTGTGAGCTAGGCTGACGCCACGGCACTCACTCTAGCCTGGGCAACAAAGTGAGACTCTGTCTCAAAAATAAAAAAAAGAGAGAGGAGCTGGTACTTGTCCTGGTCACCCAGCAGCAGGGGAGCCAGAGCTAGGACCCAACCCCCACCTGATTCCGCAGCCAGAAGAATGGGCATTTGCTGCTGCTTTGACTCTTGTGTCTACACAGGTATGTTCACCCCTGTTCCTTTGAACTCTGAAAGCACAAGGACCAGGCCTGCCCCCGTTCACTGCTATCTTCAGCACCCAGCCAGGCACTGGGGACACAGCAGGGAACAAAACAGTCTTGCCCTGTGAAGCCTCCCGAGGGGTGGGTGGTGATAAATCTGTGTTTCTTTTAGCAACGAATAAAAGTGATTTTTTTAAGTTTGCCAGGAAAAGCCACTGCTTATCAGGCCCTTGGGAATATTTGCTCCACCCACCTCCATTCCTTCAAGGGACAACTGAAGCCAGAAAGGGGAAGGGACTTGACCAAGGCTATGCAGGCCACTTAGCGGTCAAAGTCGTTGACGTAAACATGGATGACTTTCCTTCCTTTAAGATTTCAGAGCTTACAAGAAATAATAGCGAACACTTACTGAGGTCTTAGTACATGCCAGACTTTACTCTCACTGCTCTACGTATACTGATATTTAATCCTCATGACCACCTGAGATACTAGTATTATGCCCATTTTACAGATGGAGAAATAGAGGCACAGAGAGGTTAAATAATTATCGGAAGCTCATAAGTGGCAAAAACTGGGATTTAAATCCAGGCAGCCTCTCTCCAGAGTTCATGCCCTTAGCCACTGCCCCACATGGCTTGTTTGCTGTATACATTGTCTCTAAAAATGATAACACAAGTAACTAGTCACAGGGAGGGAAGATGGGGAGGCTGTTAACATAAGAAATAAATTCTATAATTTGTTAAATTTGGTAAGGACTATCGGGAAAAACTGAGCAGAGGTAAGAGGGAATTGAGTGAGATGGGGAGAAAGGGAGTTTGCAATTTTAAGTAGAGTGCTTGGGAATTGTCTCATTGGTGACATTTGAACAGAGATATGCAGGAGGTGGGAGGGTGAGTCTGTGGCTGTCTCTCAGGGAAGATCATCCCAGACAGGGTACAGCCAGTGCAAAGGCCCTGAGGCAGACCTGCGCCTGATGTGTTGGCAAAACAGAAAAGAGGCCAGTGTGGCTGGAACGTTGGGAGTGAGGAGGTGAGATTGGGACATGGTAGGGACCACCGCATTGTGGTGGCCTCATGGGCCATGGTGAGGATTTTGGCTGTTAGATTTTACTCTGAGTGAGGTGGAAGTCATGGGAGAATTTTGAGCAGAAGAGGGATTTAGTTTTTGTGTTTTTATTTTTGAGGGGGGAAGTTAACAGCTCTATTGAAATATAATTCACATACCATAAAATTCACCCCCATAAAGTACACAGTTCAGTGGTTTTTAGTATATTCAGAGAGTTGTGCAAATATCACCATGATCAATTTTAGAACATTTCCATTACCCCCTAAAGAAATGCTGCTCCCCTTAGCTGTCATCTCCCAATCTCCCCCTGCCCCTGCCAACCACTGATCTACTTTTGTCTTCTATAGATTTGCCAGTTGTGGACATTTCATATAAATGGAATCACACAACATGTGGCCTTTTGTGACTGGCTTGTGTCACTTAGCATACCATTTTCAGCGTTCATCCATGTTGTAGCATGTGCCACTACTTCATTTCATTGCCAAATAATATTTCATTATCTGGACATACATTTAGTTTGTCCATTCATCAATTGATGGACACTTGTCCCACGTTTTGGCTAATCAGAGCTCAGTGCTGGATGTGTCGAGTTTGAGATACCCCAGACAACCAGGTGGAGATATTCAGTAGGCGTTGGCTACTGGATCCTGCAATTCACCGTTGCCCTTCCTTGATCATTTCTTGAACAATAAAGCCAGAGCCAACTCTCAATCCAGGGTCTCAGTTTCTTCCTCCAAAAAGTGGGGACAATAATACCATGAAAGGCTGGGGCGCGGTGGAGCATCCCTGTAATCCTAGCACTCTGGGAGGCCGAGGCGGGCGGATAGCTCAAGGTCAGGAGTTCGAGACCAGCCTGAACAGAGACCGTCTCTACTAAAAATAGAAAGAAATTAATTGGCCAACTAAAAATACATAGAAAAAATTAGCCAGGCATGGTGGCACATGCCTGTAGTCCCAGCTACTTGGGAGGCTGAGGCAGGAGGATTGCTTGAGCCCAGGAGTTTGAGGTTGCTGTGAGCTAGGTTGAGGCCACGGCACTCCAGCCCAGGCAGCAGAGTGAGATTCTGTCTCAAAAATAATAGTAATAATAATAATAATGCCATCAAGCACTAGGTTGCCAGGAGGCTGGGGCAAAGGGCAGGAACTAACGTTATCCCTAGGATGGGAAGACGGCTGGGGTGTGCAGGGCTGGAGAGGGGGGAGCTTCAGGCAGTGTCTGTCTGTCTGTCTCCCCCACCGCCCCAGCCTGCAGCCGCGGTCGAGGAGAGGGGGAGGGAAGGTTGGGTTGTCACCTTGTCTTCCCCCGCTCTAAGCCGGTTTTCCTCCTTAGGGGCTGCCCAGGCCAGAACCGCTGATGGAAACCAGCTGCGGGAGGCGCGGGGGCTCGGCGCGCTCCCAGGCCCCTCCTCGGCGCCGGCAGACCCCGATGGGAAGGGGGAGCGCCTTGGCTCCCCTCCCCCCTACCGCAGCCCGGCCTGGGGCCCTGGCACGTCCGGCGCGCCTGATGCTTTCCAGATGTGGGCCCGGTTCCCCGCCCCCATTTGGCCCCGTTGCGCCCGCAGGGGAAGGGGGGAGGGGGAGCCAGGGTCTGACACCCCCCTATCAAATCGCTACCAGGGACCCGGGCCGGTGTTCCCTCCCGCCTGTCTCGTTTTCCGGTCCAGGCGGTAAAAAAATCGAATCGGTGTGGGCTGTGACTGCGGTAGAGACGCTCCTCCCCGCCTCCATCTCTTCCCAAGGCTGTCGCCGCGGCCCAGACGGGAAAGAGCCGGGAGACCCGAGACACGCCCCTTGGAGCACGCCCCCGCCGGGCCCCGCCCCCAACCGCAGGCGGCCCCGCCCCCAACCGCAGGCGGCCCCGCCCCTAGGAGCCCCGCCCCTCTGGCCTCGGCCGTCGGCCCCGGCGGAAGGCGCCCCCTGTGCGTCTCTTTGTCTCTCTGCCCGCCTCCGTCTCTGTCTCTGTGCCCGTGTCTCTCCGCCCTTGCGCCTGACTGCATTTCGGTCTGTGCGTCCTGTCTGTCTCTCCCGTTTCTCTCGGCAGTCCTCTCTCCATGTCTTCCTTAGTCCCCAGTCCGCGCCTCTCTCGGTGCCTGTGTCCCCGTCTCTCTGTCCCTTTGGCTCTCCCGGCACCTCCTTCCCGCTCTCTACGTTTCTCTGCGTCCATTTGCCGTCCTCTCCCCGGCGCCGAGCGCCCTGTTTCCGGCTCCCGCCGGCGCCTTCCTCCGGCCCCGACCTCCGTTTCCGTCCCCCGCGGCGCCGGAGGGGGCGCCCCGCGCTCGCTCCCCGCCTCCTGCGGCTCGGCGGGACGCCGGCGCCCCCGTGCGGCCGCGGGGCCTGTCGGGAGCGGCCAGCGGCTGAGTGTGGGCGGGAGGGTGTGCCGGAGAGCCGCGGTGTCCGCGCGTGACACCGGAAGGCGGTGTGTGGCACCGGGAGACCGCGTGCGCGTGCACTGCCCTGCGTTGGTGCGTGACTGCTGTGAGACAGTGTGTGACTGTGCGTGGCTGGCTGTGTGACATTGTGGGACGGTGTGTGACTGTGTGTGACAAGGAGCGACCGAGTGGGACTGCACATGTGAGCAATGACATGTAGGCTACTGTGTGTGATACTGTGAGATTGTGGGCGACCCTGTGTGGCAGCGGGAGGCTGTGATTGGGTGTGAGAGAGACACTCTTTGGGGGACTGGCTGTGACACTGCGGGACCATTCGCGGGAGTGAGAGATCGTGTGTGACGTGCTCGCATCTGAGAGAGGCAGTGTGTGTGACCGTGCGACACGGCGAGGATGCCAGCGCTGTGTGTGTCGCAGGAGCGGATTCTGCGTGAGAGAGGGCGAGACTGACGACCAGGACACACGGAGAGAGGGTGCGAGTGGCATCGTGAGAGGTACCGAGGGGCCCTGAGTGTGACAGACCGTGTGACAGTGAGACGGCACGCGCTGGCCATGCTGTGTGACACTGAGCTTGTGTGTGATGTGTGATGCTGAGACTGTCACAGTACCGCGACCGTGTGTGCCTGAGAGCGGAGATTGCTGTGTGCCCATGAACGAGACTGCAGGTGGTGGTGACAGCCGTGTGTGGCACACACGGTGAGGCCCAGCACGAGATTATGTACATGATGGTGCGTGTGTGTGAATCCCCGGGAGTGTGGGGGATTCTGTGACACGCTGAGCCATCGTGTGTGACTATAATTCATGTGACACCAAGAGATGGGGCGTGTGCAGGTGACCGGCACAGACTCTGTGGCTACGTGCGGAGGGAATGTGTTAGCTGTGTGTGACACTGGGAGACTGCTGGAATGTGTGTGACTGTACGTGGGCGGGTGTCACTGGATAGGTGACTGTGTGTGACTAGGAAATACTATAAAACAGTGTGTGATAGGACTTGGCAGGGAGGTGGCACGGGTAACTGCATGTCACCATGCGAGACACTGAGAAAGCGTATGAGCTGCCTTAGGGTGTGAGACGGAGAGAGAAGTTTAAATTGCACATGAATGTGTGTGACTTTTGAGAGACCGTGTGTGACACTGGGACAAACTGCTGGTACATTTGACACCCCGAGATGGTTTATCTGACTGGGCAGTCAAGGCAGCTGCTACTGGTGATGGAGTGCCACACCGTGAGTGACTGTGTGTGGCAATTTGAACCAGCACGTGACGTTGTGAGCACAGGTCGCTCATGAGACTGTGGCACTACGTGACAGTGAGATATACCGTGTGCATGTCTGTGTGAGGGACTGCCAGCGTGAGTCTGTATGCTATTGGGAGGGGTCCGTCTGTGAGGGGGTGACACTGAGGTGGCGCGTGTGACGAGGTGGGAGAGCGTGTGTGACGGGGAGAGGGGCTGTGTGGGACACCCAGGAGGGGTTTGTGTGACTGTGGAATAAACGCAGCAGGGCACAGGGCACACCTAGAGGGACTGTCTTCTCCTGTGGCTGTGAGAGAGACAGAGAGAAGACCCTGGCCGGGCGCGGTGGCTCAGCCTGTAACCCTAGCACTCTGGGAGGCCGAGGCGGGCGGATGCTCGAGGTGAGGAGTTCGAGACCAGCCTGAGCAAGAGCGAGACCCCATCTCTACTATAAATAGAAAGAAATTAATTGGCCAACTAATATATAGAGAAAAAATGAGCCGGGCATGGTGGCCGCATCGCTGTCGTCCGCAGCTACTCGGGAGGCTGAGGCAGGAGGGATCGCTTGAGCCCAGGAGTTTGAGGTTGCTGTGAGCTAGGGCTGACGCCACGGGCACTCACTCTAGCTTGGCAACAAATGAGACTGTCTCAAAAAAAAACACCACTAAAAAAATAAAACAAATGGAGAGAGCCGAGAGACAGCCCAGGTGGCGGAGGTGGCGCGGAGGAGGCGGTCCTCGAGGCCGCGCCCAGCGGCGACCCGGCGGCGGCCGGGCGCCGGGGCCGAACGCTGCCTCCAGCCGCCGCCACCGCGCCATCCCAGCCTGAGCAGGCGAACAGGTAGGAGACTCTGGTCCTGGCCGCAACAGCTAGTCCCTTTGCCCGCTCCGTGACCACCATCTGTCGGCCTGGGAGATGATGTGAGATGAGCTGAGTGAGTTGATGAATCGAACTGGATGACTTTATCCTCCTGCTTCTCCATCAGCCTGTCTCTCCCCCTGTCCCTCCATTTCACCCCCGCCCCTCCTTGCTCCTTCTCGCCTCCAAACCCTCCCTCCCCCTCTCTCCCTGGTCCCTTCTTTCCTCGGTCCCTGTCGCCCCCCATCCCTCTTTGCCTTGGGTGCTTCTCTCCCCCTTTGTCACTGTGTCCCTTCCTCTGCCCCTCCATTGTCCCTCTATCTTCCTCCTTGGCTTCACCCCCCACCTCTCCGTCTCTCTCTCTATCCCTCCTCAGGCTCTGCGTCTTTCCCATGCCTCAGTCTCTCCCTCTGTCACTTTGACCCCCTCTCTGCCAGTCTATTCGTCCCTCTCCATCCGCTCTGGCCCTCTCCCCGGCCTCTCCCCGGCTGCTAATGAGCAGAGGAGCCTTTGAGGTGGCCAGGGCTTGGGGGGCGCTCCCCGAGGGGGGCGGAGGGGGCAGCTGCTGCCAAGGCCCTAATGAGCCCCCTCTGCGCCCCTCCCGCGGCGATGTGAATTCCCAGTTCTCCCTGGAGCCACCGCTAATTGGCCTGGGGAGGCCCCTCCTAGCTCGCGCTCCATCCCTGGGGGGTGAGGACACCTGGATCCTGACCCAGCACCTATGGCCCCGTCCTTCCGCTCCTCCCTCCACCTGCCTCTCAGGCCCCCATCTGCGCGTCCTGTCCTGCTGCCTCCCCTGGCCCTCTCTGCGGCTCTCCCCACCTGCCTCCATCTGTGCGCCCCTGCGCCCTCTGGTTCCTCTCCGTCCCTCCCTCCACCTGCCTCTGGGCACCCATTGCTGCGCCCGTTACCCGGGCCCACCTCCACCACCCCACCTCGGGACCCAGACGAGTCCTAACCTGCCCCCCACCGCCCCACCCGCACCCTCCACTCTCGCCCGGCTTCTGACCCCTTCCCCGCGGCAGCCATGTCCAACAACATGGCCAAGATCGCCGAGGCCCGCAAGACGGTGGAACAGCTGAAGCTGGAGGTGAACATCGACCGCATGAAGGTGCCGGGTCTGGGCGCGAATAGGGTGGGCGCTTTGGGGCTGGGGTCTGCCCGGGGCTGTGTCGGGGCCGGCCCGGAGCCGCCGTGGGAGGATTCTCTTTGGAACCCGGCGGACACCCGGTGGGGATTGGGCAAGGGGCGGTGCCTGGGCGGCTTGGAGGGGCGGGGCCTAGGGGCAGGGCGGGGCCACGAAGGCGGAGCGAGGCCTAGGGGCAGCTTGGAGGGGCGGGGCCTAGGGCGGTTTGGAGGGGCGGGGCCCAGGGGCGGGCAGGGCAGGGCGGGGCCGCGAGGGCGGGGCGGGGCGGGGCGGCACCATCTCAATCTGTGCGCCCTCAGGTGTCGCAGGCAGCGGCGGAGCTCCTGGCTTTCTGCGAGATGCACGCCAAAGACGACCCACTAGTGACGCCGGTACCCGCTGCCGAGAACCCCTTCCGCGACAAGCGCCTCTTTTGTGTGCTGCTCTGAGCCCTCCCGACAGCTTACCCTCCCCTGCCAAAGTATGAATCCAATAAACTTGCTGACTGTGGCGGCGCCTGTGCTTTCGGGGAAACTGAGGCACACACAGAGGTTGGGGCCACGATGCGGGGGTACCTGAGGCTGTTCCCATTCTTCCGAGTGTGTCTGGAGTGGGCGAGTGTGTGGACGCGCAGGAGCACAAGTGCGCTAAAACCTCAGAGGAAATGAACGTTCTGGGCGCTGTCCTCGACTGAGCGCTCCAAGATCTGATCCTGAACTTATTTAATTGTCCCAACAGCCCCAGAAAGCAGCTGACTACGTGCATTATACCTATTTTACAGCTGAGGAAACTGAGCCAAAGGAAGTCCCTTGCTCAAAGTCACACAGCCGGGACATAAAGGGGTGAATTTAGATTGTGGACCCTCCAGTGCTCCCTGAACCCCTCCGCTGCCTCTCTCCTCTCCTCCCTCCTGGGTTGGAGACTCTAAGGACCCCCGTGCCCATCCCCTGAGTGATTCCTTCTTTTCGTATCCAGCTACCCCCTACCACAGGCCCACTTGTCCTCAAGCACCGAACTTTTTCTGTTCTTTCCTTCCTTCATCCTTCCACACACTCCCTGAGAACCTATTCTGCGACCAGCCCTGTGGGATAGTGGCTGTATCTCAGGGTCCAGTGGGAGAACAGATCTGTTCCCATGTGTTGATGACCCGAAGTAGGCAGTGCTGGGGGGTGGGGGAGGTCAGAGGGAACTCCTGACTCAGTTTACCAGTCAGGGAGAGCTTCCTGGGGGAAGGGACATCTGAGCTGGGACATGGTAGAAATGAAACTCCAGGCCATGGAGAAGACAGAAATGTGGCTTAGAGGAAGGGAGAGGATACAAACTATTGAGTACATTCCTTTGTTCAACTAAATATATACATTTTTTGTTCTGGAGACACAGAAGTGGCCGTGACAGCCCTGGCTCCTGCCCTCTGTTTCCCAGTTCGCACACTGGTGGCCCACAGGACATTTCAAAGCTTGCAGTATTTTATTGGTGCTCTACTTTTGACCTCTGTCATGTTTAAAGATGTTCTTGACTTAGTTGCCAAATTGAAAACTAGAGATAGTTCACATGAAAGTGCATTATTTCCGGCTTCTCTGGAATTATAAGTTCTGGTGACCCACAGGGTGACCACAGGCTGTGAGGCAGGGCCTGGGTTTCCCAGCTCGCCAGAGTCCCCGCTATACCCCATGGTCTCCCGGTTAAGGAAGCAAGAGGGCCAGTTGCCATCTATCACAGAGCCTGTGGCGGGGGCTTCTTATAGAGGAATAGAAAGTGGGATGTTCTGTCTCCGTTGAAAATGGGGGACATGCGACTGGGCGAGCTGTGGGTTTGGACCATTATTTCACCCGGCTGGCCTGAGGGCCACCTCCTCCCCTCCCCTGAACCTGATACTCCTGACCCCTGGGCCTGGCTGGAGGTGGCTTGCTGGGCTCCCCTCCCCAGAGGGGCCACGCAGGAGCCTGGCAAGTGCTCCATTATCCACATTGGATTAGGGTCCCCTGGGCCCCAACTCTGAGCTTCCTGTAGGATTGAGGCAGGACCAGCTGTAATTACATCTCCGTCCTGCCTCCCACCTCCCTGCTGTCTCCGGCCTGGTTGCATCACGTCTGTGGGAGCCCCGGGGGAACCGGGGGACAGGAGTGAGCCAAGGATGAGCCGGGCGTGGAGGAGGAGGAGGGGGGAGAACGCTGCGAGGGAAGGAGCTAGGATTCCGGAATTCACAGAGCCAGCATCCTCGTGGCTTAGAACCTGAGATGTGAAGGACTCCAGGATCCAGGAGCTCTGAGGGCTGGAATTCCGGAGTCTTTCATCCCAGCAGGGGGCCCGGCCCCTCTATGTGACCAGGATTCCAGAGCTCAGCACCGCATAAGGACTTCATGAGCCTGGACTGTCGGGATTTAGACCCCTCCAGCCCTGGAGTCGCGGAGCTGTGCAGTGCAAATCCTCAGTCTTTCGCTTTGCTACCCTCGGGAGAGAGAAACTGGAGGAGCAAGCTGGGCTGGCAGAATTGACCTGGGTGGGGCTGATGCAGAGGGGACCAGGAGGAGGAGAGAGGGAGGGTGGGAAACTGAGGATGGGAGAAAGGAGAAGCCAGATGGGACAGGGCAGAGGGACAAGACAGGTCCCTGGGTGACCAGTCTCCACGAGCACAGACCCAAGTAATCTTATTAGCCTTACAACTGTGCTCTGCACCAGCTTCTGTCACCAGCTGCTGTTTCCTGCCACCCCCAGTGGTGAAGGCAACTCTGGGGCCAGACCCAGGCTGGGGTCAGAGCAGGGCCAAGAGGTGGAGAGGTGGCCGCAGGGGGAAGTACTTGCTCCCGGCCATATGGCCATATCTCTCTGCACCCGCCCCCAGCCTGAGGGCTCCAGTTGCCCCATTCCAGGCTGCCTTCCTTCCGCACACCACACCCTGCACCCCAAGCCAAGGCTCAGAGCAGTGCCTGGCCTGGCTGCCGCGGGACGGGACACCCAGACCCAGGACAAGCCATGCTCTTGGCTGTCACTTACTAAAGGAACCTCACAAGCCCCATTCCACTTAATGCTCACATTGGCCCCAAGAGGACTCTGTTTATCCCTGCTTTACACACAAAGAAGACAGGCACAGAGAGGTGGTGTCACCCCATGAGCTGGGGCTTGAGGTGGGAGTGGGAGGAACCCACGGGTGACTGTTGAGGAGAGGTTCAGGAGGTGGCCAGAGGGGCCGTGGAGGCTGGGAAGTGAACCTACAGGTGCTGGGACCCGCCAGGGTGGACAGGTCTGGACTGACACAGCAGCTTCTCGCTGCAGTGACAGGCCACAGGCAGACTGCAGGTGGGAGCGGCTGGTGTCGCGTGTCTGGAACATGAGATGAGGCCAGCCTCCTCCCAAGGCCAGTGCCAGGAGGACGGAAACCAGGGAATCTGGACAGGGTCGGGGCTGGGGCAACCGGGATCTCGGGCCTGCGGCTGGGCAGGCGCTGGCTGGCGGCGTGGGAGGGCCTCGTTCCCTGCGCCGCCTGGCATTGCCCTGTGAGGTCGCCCGCCACGTGGGAGACCTGGCAGGGTGTGCAATGGCTCGGCTGAGGGCCCACCTGCCCAGGCTCCGCACACTGGGTGGGCGCAGCGGTTTGAGAACACCCCCACTGGTGGTGCCCACTGAGCCCCCTGGGTCCCCAGTCCTTGGCACACAGTAAACCGCTCACCAGGGTTTGTTGAGTGAATAATAACACAGGCAGCTATCTGAGGGCTTCCCAGGAGACAGGCAAGATGAACTGTCTCTTAACTTCACACAGCACCCCAATGACAAGGTCAAGGTGACCGTGTGATGAAGAAGCACATCAAAGGTTTGCTAAGGTAAGCCATTTTCCCAGGCTCACACGGTGCGTGATGGAGATGAGCTTCACAACCCATTCTTACCTGGGCGCGGTGGCTCACTTCTGGAATCCCAGCACTTTGGGAGGCCGAGGCAGGAGGATCACTTGAGGCCAGGAGTTCAAGACCAGCCTGGGCAAGAGCAAGAGCCCATCCCTACAAAAAATTTTAAAAATTAGCCAGGCATGGTGACATGCTCAAACTGCTCAGGAGGTGGAGGTGGGAGATCACTTGAGCCCAGGAGTTTGAGGCTGCAGTGAGCTATAAGCGCACCACTGTACTCCAGCCTGGGCGACAGAGTCCCTGTCTCAAAACAAATAAACAAACAAACCCCATTCTCTTTCCACTGCACTAAGCACCCACTCCACATACAAACATACAGCTACATCCATGTGCAATACATGGCAGCAGACACTACATACATGAGCACAGCTGTGCTCATGCACACACTGCGTCCCAATAGCCATGCTGCTAAAAGTGTCACTTAAGTCACACAGGCCACACTGATCCTACACAGACTCCCTTACCGAGTCCACACATCCCCAGTCCCCAGCCCACCACCTTCTCCTGGTCCCCATCTCTGTCCCCTCTGCGGTGCTGTGTGTCCTTGAGTCAGTCCCCTTTCTCAGCGGTGTCTGGGCTGTCCTCCCTCTTCTGCCCGCCACCCTGGGGTCCCTCAGGGAGGCCCAAGTCCTGTTCCTAGCAGTGGCTGGCGAGAGAGCTGCTGACTCACCCTCCCAGGGCAGTTCCTTCATCGCTCCCCCCCCGCCGGAAGCCACTCCTCCCACAGTGCAGCCGGGGTGAACCCGCACCCCAAGGCACCTGGACAGGAGCGGAAGCCCCTGCGGCCCCTGCTGTGGGCTTGGGCCGTGGCCCCGGGCTGGGCCACAGCTGGGCAGGAGGCCTGGTGTCCCCGGAAGGTGAGCGAGGCACGTCCTGCACTGGCAGAGACGTCAGGGACCCTCAGTCCCCTCATTAGGAGTGCGTCACAGTCACTGCCACCTGTAGGCATAGGCAGGGAAACTGAGGCCTGGGGGGGGCAGGGCCTAGTCCAAGGTCCCTCTGGGCATGAGAGTAGAGGGGACTTCCCAACTACTGATGGCCCTGGTGGGGACAGGAAGCCAGCGGGAGGGAGGCTCCGGGAACCGTAGTGTCACCCCAGTGACTCCCCTGATGCCGAGACGGGATGCAAGACAGCCAGGGGTCATCCCTCATTAATATGACATAACTTCCTGAGTTCCCGCTGGGCTACCTGGAGACTGGACAGCATGAGGTGGGACTACGTGACAGGGAGGCCTGGGACCTGCACACAAGGCACCCCAAGAGCGGGGCTGTGTGGCCCCTCGGGGCGCCCCTGTGGGGCTGGAACTGGGGCACCCATCCTGCCGGAAGCCGGGTGCCAGCTGGGCATGGGTGATAAGGAGATGGGGGAAGGTAGTTGCGGTCACAGTGGGGGGCACAGATGGCAGCCCTGCTGGCCCTGGGCGTGGGACATCTGTAAGCTCTCTGCTTCTGACAAAGGGCACCCCGGGACACGCTGCAGGCCCGGGCTGGCCCCAGGCCTGTGTGGCATGTGCAGATGAGGAGACTGAGGCAGACCAGCTTCCAGTCCTCACCTGGGACTGTCACACAACAAGAAAAAGGGTGGTTGGATCGGGACAGGAACCCATGTCAGATGGATGCGAGCCCTGAGTTTGTTAACCTGCCTCCCTGAAAAACAAGGGCTGTCTCAGAGGACGCCCTGGTCCTAGTGGTGCGGGAGGCTGCCTGGGACGCCGCGGACTGCGTGGGAAGCGGCCCGTGACCGCTGTGCTGGCAGCTGGGACACATGGGCTGGCCACACGAGCGTGAGGCTGCGGGGACGGCTGGGCGTGTGCGTGAGGAGGGTGGGAGAGATCTGGGAGCCGTGCTGGAGCCCTGGACAGCTTTCTGTGGCTTAAATATTATTCCTGGAGGTCAAGGTCACCACAGCTTGGCCTGGGGCCTGGGAGTTCTGTGCTGAGAGGCAAGAGGGCAGTGGGTGTGTCCCTGTGATAATGGGCCATGGCAGTCCCCCAGGCCTGTCCCATTCAAGTGGACACCAACTGTGCTCCTCCACACTCCCTTTGCAGAGCTTTGCCCGGGGAGCTGGGAGCTCAGGGACAGGCTCTCGAGAGATGGCATTTTTTTCTCCGGATAGGCCACCGCCTTCCTCAGCCCTCTGGAAGGAGTGAATGTGTCCAGGGACCAGAAATCTCAGCAGTGTCTGGAAAACACTGCATCAGGGAGGAATTTCCTGGTCATTTCTCAATCCCTGGGCAGCGTCCTGAGCCTGGGGCCTGCAGCCCAGAATAGACACCAGAGGCCACCCTGAGACAGCCCAGGCCATTGGCCACCCTCTCCAAAACTGGTCACTCGTGCCCCTCGGGTCCTTCTTGGCCCACCTGGTGGGCTCCAAACGTGAGTGATGGTGACTCGAGCATCTCCACCTGGGCCAGAGAAAGGACGACACCTAGGTGGCGTGGGGAGGTGGCAGGTGGCTCGGAGGACGGAGGCTGAGACGGGACAGGGGGAGAGGAGGGGAGGGGAGGAGGGGGCAGGGAAGGCAGAGGGGCAGAGGCGGTGATGGATTGCTACTTGGGGGGGTACAGGGAGTAGCCAGGGAAGGTGGCAGGGAGCCCAGGGGGCCTCTGGAGATCGCTGGGGGAGGGAGGGCGGGGCAGAGAGAGGAAATGAAAAAGCGGGGTGAGCCGGCAAGATGAGTAGGGAGAGAGGGAGGGAGGGAAGGAGGGAGGGAAGGAGAAGCTGACACAAGAGACTGACACACAGCGAAAGACACAAGACACACGAGCAAGGCGGGCCGGGGGTGAGAGGAGCAGAGACTGAGAGGCTGCAGATTCCCGGTGAGCAGGGCGGGGAAAGAGAGGTGCAGGGAAGGAGGGGACAGAGGGCTGGGGGTGGGGGAGAAAGGAAGAAGAGGGCAAGGGAGGGGACAGAGACAGGGAGACAGCAAGAGACAGAGAAAGCGGGAACTAGGGACGTCCAGAGAGTGAAGGACAGAGACAGAGATAGGAACTAGGGACGCCCAGAGAGTGAAGGACAGAGACAGAGATAGAGATAGAAATAAATAAGTGGGGGGAAAACCAGGGAGAGACAGAGTGACAGAGAGGGACAGAGAGACAGACCCGAGAGAAACGCAGGCACGCACCAGGAGACCAGGAGAACTGGGGTCGGCTGGGTGACCCCAGCTGCCACAGGGACGGTGGCCCGGAGCCTCCGAGCTGGCCACAGGGGAAGGCCTGGCCGGCCGTGATCCCCGCCTCCCGTCCTTGGGGACCTTCCTGCCCAGGCCGGGGATGGCGGATTCGTGCCGCAACCTCACCTACGTGCGGGGCTCGGTGGGGCCGGCCACCAGCACCCTCATGTTCGTGGCGGGCGTGGCGGGCAACGGGCTGGCGCTGGGCATCCTGGGCGCGCGGCGGCGGCGGTCGCGCCCGTCGGCCTTCGCCGTGCTGGTCACCGGGCTGGCGGTGACAGACCTGCTGGGCACGTGCTTCCTGAGCCCGGCCGTGTTCGTGGCCTACGCCCGCAACAGCTCGCTGCTGGGCCTGGCGCGGGGCGGGCCCGCGCTGTGCGACGCCTTCGCCTTCGCCATGACCTTCTTCGGCCTGGCCTCCACGCTCATCCTCTTCGCCATGGCGGTGGAGCGCTGCCTGGCGCTCAGCCACCCCTACCGGTACGCGCGGCTGGACGCGCCGCGCTGCGCCCGCCTGGCGCTGCCCGCCATCTACGCCTTCTGCGCGCTCTTCTGCGCGCTGCCGCTGGCCGGCCTGGGCCAGCACCAGCAGTACTGCCCGGGCAGCTGGTGCTTCGTCCGCCTGCGCGCCGCCGAGCCCGGCGGCTGCGCCTTCTCGCTGGCCTACGCCAGCCTCGTGGCCCTGCTGGTGGCCGCCATCTTCCTGTGCAACGGCTCGGTCACGCTCAGCCTGTGCCGCATGTACCGCCAGCAGAGGCGCCCCCCGGGCTCGCTGGTGCCCGGGCTCCGCGCGGGCGAGGACGAGGTGGACTATCTCATTCTGCTGGCCCTCATGACGGGCATCATGGCCGTGTGCTCCCTGCCCCTCACGGTGAGTCCCCTCTGGAGTCGGCGGGAGGGGAGGGAAGGGGGGTTGTGCCCATTTCACAGATGGGGAAGCTGAGACTCAGAGGAGGTCGGGCGGAGGCTTTGTCCGCAGTCAAAACCGCCTGACTTTCTCAAGTCCCGCCCCATTTGCTTCTGTCCCATTTCACTCCTCCTGACCCCTGGTCTCCTCCACTCCCAGCCCCCACTACTCAAGCGCACCCCGTCTTTCCCCTGCCCCTGTAATGAGAGCAAGGCTCACCGTTCTCTGAGCACTCGCTGTATCCCGGCAGATGCCGAGTGGCTTGCAAATACTTTCTCAGATCATCTTCCAAATGACCACGTTCTCCCATCCCATAAGCCTTTAGCAGGAAAGGCACAAAAAGCCAGGTCTCCACCCTGGGTACTCTGATTCCAGAGCCTGACCTCCCACCCACTGGGCTCCCCACTTCCCCAGCCTGGGCCTCACCCTCACATCCTTGCCTCGATTTCCTGCCGGGGCGCCTGCCCTGCCCCTCCCCCACCAGTGCAGCACAGACCCTGGTTCCCATCCAGCACCTGTGACACCTGGTCGTGCCACCTTTATTCTGGGCCTTGGTTTCTCATTCTGGAAAATGCAAGGGGCTGGGCGGGACGTGGGTGTCCTTAAACCTCTTCAGGGCTGATGACGGCTCAGAGACTGGACGCTGCGGGCAAATACGCACGGGCACAGCCGCAGCTCTGCCTGCAGTGGCAGGGGGCCCAGAGGTCTCACACTCAAAAATCTGTGGAGCCCAAGGGCCCTCCCAGATGCAAAGGGCAGGGGAACCCACAAGCCCAACCCCCATCTCTCTCCCTCTAGGCCTCTGCCGGGGCTTTCCTTCCCTCTGCCCCCCGGATGCATTCGCTGCTTGATTTTCATCTTATCTTATTTCCTCCCTCTCTGACATCCACCCCTTCCTCATCCCTGCTGGTGAGCAAGTGGGAGCCAGGGTGGGGTGCAGGGCAGAGGACTCGTGGGTGCTCCCTGACACCCCCTGCCCCGCCCTCAGGTCCGCGGCTTCACCCAGGCCATCAGCCCCGACAGCAGCGAGATGGGGGACCTCCTGGCCTTCCGCTTCAATGCCTTCAACCCCATCCTGGACCCCTGGGTCTTCATCCTTTTCCGCAAGGCCGTCTTCCAGCAACTCAAGCTCTGGTTCTGCTGCCTGTGTCCTGGGCCCGCCCGAGGCGACACGCAGACTTCCCTCTCCCAGCCCATCTCTGGGAGGAGGGACCCAAGGGACCCCTCTGCCCATGAGGGGAAGGAGGGGGGCTGGGTGCCTTTGTCAGCCTGGGGCGAGGGGCAGGCGGCACCCTTGCCCCCCGCACAGCGGCCCGGCAGCAGCACCGTGGGAACGCCATCCAAAGCAGAGGCCACTGTCGCCTGCTCCCTCTGCTGACACTCTAAGCTGACCCTGTGGTCTCCAGCCCTGTCTTCAGGGAACAGGGGCCAGAAAACCAGGGACATGGCTGATGGGTGCGGATGCCAGAACCTTGGCCCCGAACTCTGGGGGCGTCAGCTGCTATTGCTCCTCCATGCGGGCTCGGGGAGGAGAGCGAGGGACAGAGGGAACATTTATCCTGGAGCACAGAAAGAATAATTCTCTCAAAATAACCAGTGGCCTGGCCGGCCGGCTCTGGTCCCCGAGTCTCCATCCATCTCACTGTCTAAATATTTAGAAGGCGGAAAAGTTCCCAGCGGCTTCTGTGTACTCAGGTCTCCTCCCGTTGGGGTGTTGGCTCCTATCTTCATCCATTAAGGGGGCCCCGCTGCCCACCCCAAATTCCCAGGGGCAGCCCTGCCCTCTCCCAAGCCACGCCAAGAGCTGGGCCCTCTCTGCCCCGAGAGAGCCAGGGATTCTTGGAAAAGTTCCCCGCCTCCCCTCGCTGCCCAGCCCTGCCACGCTTGGGAGCCCTGGCCCCCGAGGGCAGGCGGGAGGAAGCAGAAGCTGCTGTGTTGTGCGTGACAATGCAGGACATGTGCCTGGTCCCAAAGGGGCCCGAGACACAAACCGTGGGGTGCGGGTGGTGGGGAGATAGATGGAGAAGCTGTCGGGTGAAGGGGTGGGGTGTGCAGAGCCCAGGGACTGCCCCAGAAAGCAGACCCAAGTCCTATACCTGTCCCCAGGCTCCTGAATAAATAACCCTTCATTCATTCATTCATTCATTCATTCATTCATTCAACAAATACTCAGCGGGGTCCAGTGAGCTGACTAGCATAATGGAAGTGAGTGGGCATTTGGTGGGGAAGGGTGAATGGGAACCCCCCGGTCCCCTGCACTGCTGGCCTCAGTTTCCCTTTCTCACTCTCCCCCTACATCCTCTGCCCCGGGTTAAAACAATAAATCCACACCTGGGGATAACCGGGTTGGGTGAAGCCTGAACCTCCTATAAAGACAGCAGCAGCTCACATGCCTCTCCCTCCATCATAACAGCCTATTATTTTTTATTTAAAGACAGGGGTCTTGCTATGTTGTCCAGGTGGTCCTGGGCTCAAGTGATCCTCCTGTCTCAGCCTTCCAAGTAGGTGGGCCACCATGCCTGGCATCAGCCTATCACTAGAACCTTTCTCTTGAGGCTGGGTGAGATCAAGGTCCAGAGGGGACAATCACCTGGCCTGGGCCACACAGTGAGAGGTGGGCAGAGCAGAGGGAGCAGGCCTAGCTGTCCATCTCCAGGGGACCTTGGTTTCCTTGTGATCAGAATCTAGTACTTAGTTTACAGGGTTGCTTTCAGGATTCAGTGAGTTGCTCTAAAAAGCAATTTAGCACAGGGCCTGGACTAAAGCCCACAAGAAATGTTACCATTATTGCCATCTTTGTTGTTGCTATTGTTATCTGGGCAAACAAGATTTTAAAACAAAGCCATGCTTTGCTTCATTGTTTTGACTTTTTTTTCAGTCACTATGCTTCAAATAACAATAAAGAAGAACAAGAGGTGTCTGGGAGAGCTAAAAACAGGTCAAGGGGATCCATTCATGGGTTTGGAGTTTCCTTTTGGGATGAGAAAATGCTCTGCAAACTGAGAGTGGTGATGGTTGCACAACAGTGAGAATGCACTGAATGCCAGGGGATTGTAATTTTTAAATGGTTAAAATGAAAACTTTTATGTTACGGATATATTAAAAAATAAAAATATTAAAAAAAATAGAATACTGAAAAAAATTGCGGGAAAAATATTTAGGAACAGCAGTCTTGACAGAGTAATACTATACTGGTTGAATTTTTTTTTTTTTTTTTTTGAGACAAAGTCTCAACTTTGTTGCCCAGGCTAGAGTGAGTGCCGTGGCGTCAGCCTAGCTCACAGCAACCTCAAACTCCTGGGCTCAAGCAATCCTCCTGCCTCAGCCTCCCAAGTAGCTGGGACTACAGGCATGCGCCACCATGCTTGGCTAATTTTTTCTATATATATATTAGTTGGCCAATTAATTTCTTTCTATTTATAGTAGAGACAGGGTCTCGCTCTTGCTCAGGCTGGTTTCGAACTCCTGACCTTGAGCAATCTGCCCATCTCGGCCTCCCAGAATGCTAGGATTACAGGCGTGAGCCACCGCGCCCGACCTGTTGGTTGAATTTAATAATAAAAACATACACTTGTAAAAACCCAAAAAACCAGGTGAGGAAACATCAGATTGGGTCCTGGCTTTGTCACCAAACCTGGCCTGGCCTCTCAGCAGGAACAGCCCCGAGGACCCCCCAAGAGAGGATGGTGAAGCAGGGATGGGCAGGGCGTGGGGAAGGGCACGGGGGTGGGGTGCTCATTTCCTGTCTGTGTCAGCCCTGAGGGTGGGTAGGTTCTGTCCCTTTGGCCTCCTGGGGCTGCCGTGCCAGGGCACTGACCCACAGCTCCTCACCCGAGCTGGGTGCTGTCGTGGGTTCCGTGCTCTGGGTGGGCATGGAGGCGAAGAGAGGACGCGGAGGAGGGTGGTTTTCTGCCAGCTCTTACCCACTGTTCACTGCAGCCCGCGGGGGTCACGGCTTTGCAGACAAAACCCACTCGGTCCACCCACAGCCCCTTGGGGATGATTTGGAAACTTCTAGCAGGGATCCTGACCTCTGACCTCCCAAGTTCATCCTCTCTGGCAGCTGCCACAGACCTGTCCCCAAAGTGCTGTCTGGCAGTCACTGCCCAGCTTGCAAAGCTGCAAGGGCTCCCCCGCCTGGAGGCCGTGGCCTTATCACACCGCTGTGGCTTCCCCAAAGAGGCTTCACACCTCTGGACACCCACATCCGTGCTTGCTGTGCTCACTCTTCCCGGAACAATGTTTCCCTTCTTCATGGGTCAAAAGCACCCTTGCCCTCCCACATCCTCCTTGAACTGTCCCACCTCCAAGAAGGCTTAGCCACTCCCCCTGGGGGCAATTCTGTCCTGTGGTAGCACTGGCCACGCCCTGTCACGTGCAGATGTGTCTGCTCTCCCATTCCGCAGGGTCTTGCTTCAGGCTTTCTGTACGTCAGGGCTTGTCCCTGTGATGCTGGGGACACGGCAGCAATAGAGATGGCCCTGGCCCTGGCCCTGGCCTCCTGGGACTCACAGTCCAACCAGGGGAGACAGTCTTATCCCCAAAATGGGCAGGGTTGGGAGGAGGGTGCCTGGGCGGAAGGAATGGCTGAGTGGGACCTGAGGTTTCTGTTATGCCAACAGTTTCGACCCTGGCGTCTAATTCCTCCCTTCTCTGGCCTCCTGTATGTTCATTTATTAATTCAACACACTTTCCCTGGAGCCTCTCTGGGCTGCGGCTGCACTGTGCCCCTGGGGATGTGGCGGTGACTGACACAGCACTGGCCCTACCTTGCTCACCCATCCAGTGGGGTGATGATTGAATAATCACATAAATATGTGTTATAATAAGCAGCTAAGATACAAAATTACAAGCTGTCCTATGTAGTAAGCGGCGCAGTGCAAAGATCTGTGAGAACATACACAGTTGTCCTTCAGTATTGGTTCCAGGATTCCCCTCAGATACCAACACCTGCAAATGCTCATGTCCCTTATATAAAATGTCTAAGTATTTACATATAACCTATTCACATCCTCCTGTATACTTTATTTTTTGAGACAAGGTCTCTCTTTGTTGCCTGGGTTAGTGTACAGTGGCGTCAACACAGCTCCCAGGAACCTTAAACTCCTGGGCTCAAGCGATCCTCCTACCTCAGCCTCTTGAGCAGCTGGGACTACAGGCAGGAGCCACCATGCCCAGCTAATTTTTCTAGTTTTTGTAGAGATGGGGTCTCGCTCTTGCTCAAGCTGGTCTCAAACTCCTGGCCTCATGTGATCCTGCTGCCTCAGCCTCCCAAAGTAATAAAAATACAGGTGTGAGCCAGTGTGCCCAGCCTGTTGTATTATTTTTCTCTTTATTTTTTTGAGACAGAGTCTTGCTTTGTTGCCCAGGCTAGAGTGAGTGTCGTGGCGTCAGCCTAGCTCACAGCAACCTCAAACTCCTGGGCTCAAGCAATCCTTCTGTCTCAGCCTCCTGAGTAGCTGGGACTACAGGCATGTGCCACCATGCCCGGCTAATTTTTTCTATATATATTATTGGCCAACTAATTTCTTTCTATTTATTGTAGAGATGGGATCTTGCTCTTGCTCAGGCTGGTTTTGAACTCCTGACCTCGAGCCATCCGCCTGCCTCAGCCTCCCAGAGTGCTAGGATTACAGGCGTGAGCCACTGCGCCCGACCTATTTAGAATATTTTTCAATCTGAGGTTGGTTCGAACCCATGGATACTAAGGGCCAACAGTACTAGTACTAGGCTCCTGCCATAGTCTGCAGGGGGGGCGCGGGGGGAGCGCTCAGGAAATCACATGCTGGGAATGGGTCTTACTCAAGGAGGCTTTATTCGTTTTAAAATTCATTTCTTTATTCATTCCATTTCCCCAGCACTAGGCCTGACCCACAATGAAACACCCACACACCATGGCTGGTCCCGGAGTTGCAGCTCTCTGAGGCCTTCTGTGGCCATTGCCCCACCTGCTGGTCACACTGGGAGTGACACTTTGAAGTGGCCCAGAGCCACCTCTGGGAAGTGAAGAGGACCTGGGGAGCCCTCACGTGGGCCCTGGCAGGGCACTCTTGGTGTATCCCTTTGTCTAGTCGCTTCCCCAGGACAGGTTTTGAGCTGGTCTAGCAGAGGTGTGACCCTGAGCTGGAAATGATGCCCCAGCCAGGCAGTTCTCTGCTCTGGGCTGGAGCCGGCTGCCCTCCGTGCTTGCCCAGGGGCATTGGAAGCTCAGTGCCATCTATGTCTTTGATTAATAAAGAATGGGAGACGGAAGTCATGATTATTTAATAATGTAGCCTGAGAGTAAAAGTCTTTTAAAACAGGGCCCAAGGGGGACACTAATGCCAGGCAGCTGGGAGCAGGCGACGGGATGCCGTGGGTGAAAGTGTGGGCATTTGGGAGCCGAGAGCGCTGGGCTGAGACCCAGCTCAGCCACTTCCAAGAAGTGGAGCTCTGCCTGCCCGGCTCCACTCCTTTCCTGTCAGATCTCCATACTAACTGCCGCCCTGCCCACTTGCCCAGGGCAGAGGATGACACCCTAAGTAGGGACTGAATTTTAGTATGGCTCCATCCAGCCTGGGTGCGAATTAAATGAGATAATGTCTATGAAGAGACTGGCATAACCCACTGAGGTGGGTATTTTTTGCATCTTCCTTTTATAGATTACACACTCAGAGGTGGCCGCTGAGGCTTAGCAGAGTGCAAAGGCTCACTCTATCTAGTGAGTAGTCAAACCGGGATTTGAGCCCAATTCTGTGGGACACCAAAACCTGTCAGAGAGATACTAGATCAGAATTTTCTACAGGTATCTTGGCTGCTAAGTGGGTAGTTCCCATCTCAGACGCCACCACCAGCCTCAGCCTAGCCTCCCCACCGGCTGTCTCTGGCCTGTTGGAAGTAGTTTTTTTTTTTTTTTTTTTCAGACAGAGTCTCACTTTGTTGCCCAGGCTACAAAGGAGTGCCGTGGCGTTAGCCTGGCTCACAGCAACCTCAATCTCCGGGGCTCAGCGATCCTACTGCCTCAGCCTCCCGAGTAGCTGGGACTACAGGCATGCGCCACCATGCCCGGCTAATTTTTTGTATATATATTTTTAGTTGGTCAATTAATTTATTTCTATTTTTGGTAGAGACGGGGTCTCGCTCAGGCTGGTTTCGAACTCCTGACCTCGAGCAATCCGCCCGCCTCGGCCTCCCAAAGTGCTAGGATTACAGGCGTGAGCCACCGCGCCCGGCCGAAGTAGTTTTTTTAAAACTACCACTGGACTCTTAAAGCCCAGCAGCTGAAAGCCTGGACTCCTTAGAGTCAGATCTGGATCAGATTCCAGCTCTGCCACTCCCTTACTTTATAACCTTGGGGTAGTGACTTCACCCCTCTGGGCCTTCGATTCCTGGTCAGCAAGTTGGGAAGTAAGTCAGTGCCAGTCCAAAGGGCTGCTTTAAGGCTTCGGTGAGACCATGGATGCGGAGCTTAAAAGACAGTCTGTGAAGTAGGAAGCACCCAGCAAATATTGGCTGATGCTTGCTGAGCACTTAGTGAGTTCATCAGGCCTCATTCCTGCCGTCTCAACACCCAATCCTCACCCCAGCCCAGTAGGTGGGTCCTGCTATGCCCCCATTTCATAGGCAGGGTCACTGAGGTCTGAGATGGTAAGGTGCCTGCCCAAGGCTCTGAGGCAGTGAGTGCAGAAGCCAGGATGCTCAGGCAGGTAGCTGGGCCCAGGCCCCGAGTTCTCATACACTACGCCCTGCCATCTTTATTGCACCACCAAATGCCACACCACACTGGGTGGCAGGAAAAGCGGGTACAGAAGCTGGGGCTCTGGAAGAATAGCTTGCCACTCCCAACTTCTCCCCCTGCAGTGCTGGGCTCCAGGGACT